CAGGGTCAGCAATGTTTTCAGGCTGAGGGCCAGACTGACCCAAATTGGGTCAGAACTGGGCTGGCCCCCAGAAGGCAGGCACTAGGATCCAGCCACTGCTGCCACTTTTCCCAGTTGCTAAACAGGGAAAGTGTCCAAAACTGCTGCTTTTCCAGTGTGGCCTGGGGACAGTGTTTGCAGCCAGCACTTGTCCCCACAGTGGCTGGGGAAAGTGACTGCTGCTGAAACCCCCTGTTGCTTCAAGATCAAGTCTTGCAGGTAATAGGTTGGTGACCCCTGCATTGCACTAAGGGCTAAAACTTGGGAGGGCCTTTTTTACCACTTTTTTCTGGGTTACATTTCTAGGCCTTACACTTGCTACATCGGGGCAGGCAATTATTTTGGGCAGAGGGCCCCTTACCGAGTTTTGGCAAGCTGTCAAGGGCCGCATGCGTATCCCTGCCCCTTGACAGGTGTCCCGCCCCCTGCTCACCATCTTGGGCCCGGAAGTCCTTCCCCTTGCCCCTGGAAGTACTTCTTTTGGGAAGAGGGTTTGCCATCTTAGACTAGGGAAAAAAACAACAAATTATATACTACAAATCATAGTTTCATAGTTTCTAGGGTTGGAAGGGACCTGAGCAGATCATCTAGTCCGACCCCCTGCCATGGCAGGAAGAGCACTGGGGTCAAATGACCCCAGTAAGGTGGTCATCCAACCTCCTCTTAAAAACCCCCAGGGTGGGAGCCTGCACCACCTCACTTGGAAGCTGGTTCCAGACCCTAGCCGCCCTGACCGTGAAGTAGCGCCTCCTGATGTCCAACTTAAACCTTCCCTCCGCCAGCTTGTGACCATTGTTCCTGGTCACTCCTTGCGGCGCTCGGGGGAACAGGGACTCCCCCAGCGCCTGCTGATCCCCCCTAACCAGTTTATAACAGGCCACAAGATCCCCCCTCAGCCTTCTCTTTTGAAGGCTGAACAGGTTCAGGTCCCGCAACCTTTCCTCATATCAAACACCCATAATATTTTAATTTAATTTTAAAAAAATATTTTTGTCCTGATTTGTGTGTGCTTGTGCTGTATATATAGAAGTGATTGCATAATAGCTCAAAAATGCAGTTTTACTCTTGTATAGTGTGTGGGGTGTGCAGGGGTGTCAGGGGTGTGTGTGTGTATAGGGTATTTGGGGGGGGAGGTGTGGCTGTGGGGTTTGCAGGAAGGGTTTGAGGGTATGTGGGGTGTGCATGGGAGCTCCCCTGTACATGTCCCCCTGAGCCAGTTAGCACCCACCCCCACCTTGCAACAGCCCAGAGCCTGAGTGCCCTATGTCACCTCTTCACCACCACCAACAGCACGCAGCCCCAGCACACCCCGTGCCTGCTCTGCACCACCTGGCCATGGCATGTCCTGCTGCCCCTGGGCATGCAGCAGTGGCAGTGGGGAGCAGCGTGTGCAGCTGCGACTCTGTACAACCTGCGCTAGCTCTGGGTTCACCCTTCCAGGCTGAGCAGCAGCATCAGCAGCTGGGTAGAAACTGCTGCTTGGCACAGGGGAAAGCAGCTCCTCCCCCTTACTGCTGTTGGGCAGTTTTTGGTACAGCCACCTGGATCCCACACTTTGCTGGGCTGCCTTGTGGCTCCGTCACTGCCACCTGTGAGCTGCCCCGTGGCTGCTCCAAACTGTCACCGCTGCCGTGCTGGGCGGCTCAGAGGTGGCAAGGTGATGGAGCCGCAGGGCACCGCTGCCACAGCTGAGCCTGGATGGGCGAGCCCTGAGCTGGCACTTGGTCCCAGGTTCAGCAGCGGTGGTGCACAACAAAGTGCTGCTCAGGGTGGAGGGAAAGCGGCCCTTCCTTCTCACCAGTGCTTCCTGGTGCAGCTGCTCGGAGCCTGTGCCAGGCTGGCCCTGTGTCTGCTTTGTGCTGCCACTGCTGCCCTGCAGGGCAGCCCAGAGGCAGCAGTGATGTAGGACAGCCCCATGCAGGCTTTGGGCAGCTATACCAGAGAGCACCAGTGAGGGGGAGCGGCCACTTCCCCCCACGCTAAGCAGCACTTTGTCCCATGCTGCTGTTGCTCAGTTCAGACGGGCGAGAGCAGGGTCAGGGCTGTGCATGCTGGTCCCTGCTTGTACTGTGGGGTGGGGTGGGGGTGGGGGGCTGGGAGTGAGTGGGTGCATGGACTGCAGTGACAGCTGGATGGGAGTGCAGGGCCTGCGCCAGTGTCCTGGGACCAGTGCCGGCAGGACCCAGAGCAGGGTGGCAGGGGTGCCAGGTCCCAGCTGGCAGGGGCTCTATGGAGCTGAGCCAGGTCCCCCCCCTCCCTGCTAGTGCACCCCAGCCCAGCTCCATGGCCTCCTGCCAGTGCACACCCCACACTTCTGCTACCCCAGCCTGTGCTCCACCAGCGCTGACCCCAGGACACCCGAGGGAGCCCCGCATACCTGCTCATTCCCAATCCCAAGCCCCCCAGCTGCTGCTTTCCCCACTTTCTTGCCCTCCCCCCAGCCACTCCTGCACCATGTGGCTCCCGGCTGCATGGCCACAACCACAGGACTCAGCAGGAGCTGGCCTGGCCCCAAGGACTGAGGCGATCATCCACAGTCCTCCCTGTGTTTTTACCAGAATTTCCCACTCCTGTGCAGGGAGGCACAAACAACTTCATGGTCCCAGGCCAGAAGCCTCTGCTAGGCAGGGGAACAGGGGTGGGGGTGAGGCCGCATGGACCTTGCTGTTGCTGGGTCCTGCCATGTCTTCCCCTCGGTCCTACTGCCCCTGTCTCCTGTCATCTTTGACAGCCAGCCAGGGGCAGATAAGTACTGATTTTCTAAATTTTTTTAGGGGCCCTGTGGGCCGGATAGAATGGCCTGGTGGGCCGGATGAGGCCCACAGGCTGTATTTTGCCCACCCCTGTGCTAGATAGATGCATACAGAGGCACATAACTGTCTGGGCAGAGTGCACCCTACTGAACATGTGCAGTAGCCACATGGACATTTGCACATCCAGATGGGAACATCTCTAAAAAGATCACTTGGACTTTTCTCCATCTCCCTTTCCAAGATCCTGGAAGTCTCATAATCTGCACAGTTCCATGTAAAGTTGTGCCCCGAATTCTAAAGTGCATCATCACCAATACAGATTTGGGAAATCATTTCATAATACTGTGCCATCTTGTATTTATAACTTGTAGTTTTCACTCTAAAGAACAGCACTGTGCTATGTTGTCCCTACGTCTCTTACCAAATTCTCTGTCCATTTTACTTTTTTCAATTAACAAATGGCAAGTCTTGATTGTCATATCTATGCTCTCACTAATAGGGAAATCCCCACCCAATACTTTTTAGCATCTTGTGCTTTGGGGTATAAACATTTTCCCAATCTTGTGCTTTGGGTTATAAACAATAAAAGACTAAGCTACTAACCTGTTGCTTGCTTCTTTATTAGTAATCTGACTCAAGTGGTATTAGCACCCTACCTGGTAAGAGGGAATGGAGGATCACTGGGAATTGTGACTGTAGCTTAATTTGGTGTGTAAAAAAGGTTAATGATTAAGGGAACTGTAACTGTCCCTTAATTCTATGGCTAAGCTTGCAAAAGAGGTCCTGATCACAGCTGGACCACAGTCCTGTCTCTCCAAAGATTGATCAGTGCCAAGTTTGTGGGATGAGAGAAAGAAGATAAGGAATAAAAAGGAAAAATGGATTTCTCCTCCAAGTAACTGGCCATGTGCAAATTCTGTTGTGGATGTACCTACAACTTGTGCTTGATTTCAGAGGCTTTTTTGGCTAGTAACAAAAGCATGACATGCACTTACCCTGCTCATTCTGGATCATCGAAAATAGAACTGGAAAGGACCATAGGGAGGTCATCTAATCTAGTTTCTGCTCCGAGGTAGGATCAACTGTGTTAACTTATATATATGTACACACACACACACACACACGATAGACCTAGTCATGAGAGTTCATTTCAAGCATGCCAGTCCACAAGCAGTTGAGGCTTCTCCACGGGCGAGATTCATAACAAGGACACAACTATTTCACCTAAGAGCATGCTAGGTGCTTTACTACTGGAGCTACTGGACAAAGTCTGTTGGTTGAAAAGCAGTATCAGCCTCATAAACCTCTGAGCCATACACACTGTCTCTGTTCCAAAGGAGCCACATTTAGGCCTTGGCTGGGAAGAGAGGTTCAGCCAAAACACTCCTCTTGAGCCCTGGGTTGTTACTGCTACTACTACAACTGGTCATGCTCCTTCACCAGAAACAATTCCCAGTAACTTCTGCCTGTCATAGAGAAATGCTAAATCCTAGTCACTGGACATTATAAAGGTTTGTTCATATTTGGCTGCTCTCAATTTCGGTTCTCAGCCCCCACATTCTGTCTGGATCTAAACATCAGTCCCTATTTTGAACCTACCCTGGGATCATTTCTCTACTCTTCCCCTCCCATCTCCCTGCTCCACCCCTTCCGGCAGAGGCTCCCTGAGCTGGTCCCCCACCACTACTTCTCGGCCCTGCTCCCAGGGCTGTGAAGTAATCTAGAGTGAGCAAGACGTTGTTTTGGAGCCTGTCAGGCTGACAAGGGCAAGCGGGGAGATTTCACAAGAAGCTTCAGCCTATTTTATCGCTAAACTCTCCCCCAGGCCTATTGCTAGCTTCACGTGTTACTGGCGTTGCTGGAAATCACCGGTACCTTTCTGACCCGGCAGCGCTGGCACCTCCCACCAGGAACAGTGCCCCAGGACACGTGCACGACACTCCCACTGCGTGTCCGAGCCGGGCAGGGCACAAGACACCGGGAGGGCAGCGGCGCAGTCCGCGAGCAGACAGGGCACGAGCTCCTCCTTCCGGGACCGCAGCGGCCAGCGAGGTCTGGGCGGCAGGGACTCGCGGCCGCCCGCTGCTTCCTGTCCCACCGCCCGGCCCGGCCCCTGCTCAAGCTGCTCCCGGGCGCACCCGCTCTGCCCGGCGGTCCACGCGGAGCAGCGCGGCGAGGAGGCGGCGTTTCGCGCGGGCACCCGGTTACCTGCGGGGTCCGGCTCGGGAGCCAGCGCGCGCAGCCCAAGGGCAGCAGGCAGCCGAAGAGCTCGAGCTCTTCCGGCACTGAACGAGCTCTCACGTGACAGCGGCGGCCAATCACAGCAGCGGCTGTTGTCGCCCAATGCTGAACAAGGAACTTTCTAACTGGCTGCCGCAGAGGAGCCGCTGCGCGCGGGAGCCGGGGGCTGGGCCTAGAGTGGAGGAGCTGGGTCCCGTCGGCCCGTCTGAGGAGCTCGGGTCAAGCTGAGCTGCCGCCGAGTTAGAACAAGGGGGTCAAGCTACTCGCAGGGACCCGCACAAACGTTATTCCTGGAGATAAGTCAGTCCGGCTCAGAAACATTTCCTGAAGCTAATTCTCACCCACATCACTGGTGCTGACAAACCAGACTCAGGGCTAGGCTGGGATCCTGGCACAGAGGAGCTTCCTCACTTCACAAGGATGCCTGGAAGCCCCAGGCAGGACGAGGAGCCCTTGACCAGCACCATGAAGTGTCTTGACAGGTGCTTAGTTCCACAATTTGGACTTCACCCTGTGCTACCAATGTTTCAATAGTATGTGCTTCGATGAATCGTTCTGGTCACCTCAGACCTTATTTTCATGTCATTTAGCCAGTGCCAAGAACTGGTGAGACGACAGTTATTTCTGTGCTTTTGGGTTCATTATAGAGTGTGCAGGTTATATATTGTCTGAGAAGACAAGACTCACAGAACAGGATGTGGAGAGTTGTCTTACAGTGGGAAGTCATAAGAGCAGACTGAGGTTACGCTAGAAATCTGAATGCTTGAGAGACAATCCCTGTGGCGGTTTGTTTTGGGAATGTTTAGAAATCCTTTCCTTTCATGGAGCTGTTAGTCTGACATCCCCATCAGCAGCAACGTAGGCTCAAGCAAATATTTGCCTAATCCTGACAAATCTTAGCAGAAGGGTAGGCAGGCCAGACACATGGCCTTTCCTGTCCTCATGAAAGCAGCAGCTGAGCAGTCAGGGAGGGGCATATGAGACAGAAAACTCCCAGGGATTAAGTAACAGTGACTACAGTGAAGAGATTGGAGGGCAAGGGTAGCAAGTCAGCCCAACTAGGAGTTGTCTTAATGAATTGGAAGGGCATATCTTAATGGCTAACCTAAGTCACCATGGTTTTTGTGCGTCCTCTTCCTTTTCCCTCCCCTCACCCTGTGTGCAGTTTTGAAGGAGGGGTAAATAGGGCAGCAATATGGAGGGAGAAATGAGGTGCATGTGAAGGGTGAGAGAGGTGTATTAACAGTCCCGGAGTATGAAGCTACCCACAGCCACCAACACCTAACTTGTTCTATACCAGATGCTCCACAGCTGTTCATTCTCACACATGGTGTATGGGACTCAAGAGCACCTGGCAGCCAAAGACTTCATCCTCCAATTTATATGTGCTGGCCACCATTTGTCTACCCACTTTTAAAGATCCAGCAGATTGGAATCCCCACCCAATACTTTTTAGCATTTTCCCTTCTGGCAAAGGGGCTCATCCCACAGCCCTGCCCCTGGGTGCCTCTAGTTTTAGGCTGTTTGTATCAGCTGGACTTGCCTTCAGATACCCCGTCCAGCATTTTTCAGAGGTGTAAGACAAAACTGTTCAACTTTTGAATGCCCTGGTGCTGCAGGCCCCTGGCCACACACTTAATGGGCCTCACGCATCCCCAGGCCACATGCTGTGCCACACGCTGTGCCATGTGCTTCTCTACCCACCACGCTGCACCACGCAGGGTCCCCCTGAATCTCCCAGCCACAGTCTCCCTCAGCCTATACACTGCCTTAGCTCCATGGGTGGGGTCAGGCAATGGAAGCAAGAGGGAGCAGGAGCCTGGAGACTACAGTGGCAGCAGAAGGAGAACAGTGGAGGAGAGCACCCAGACCAAGAGTTGGATGTTAAACCTTGGGGGTGGATGTGGAGCCCACCAGTTGAGCAGTCCTGGTCTAAGACATCACCAATGGTCCCCCCCACCATTTGCTGCTGCAACAGCTTTCCCCAGCTTCTCACCTAGCTCAGGGCCCAGAATGTCCCAGGGCTCCCTCCCCTCCTTACTACACTCCCTGCCCAGGTCTTTGGCCAGCATGATGGACATGCTGGGATGCTGCTGAGAAGCCCCTGTAACTTCAGGTTGGGTCCAAGATTTCAAAATACAACTGAGCATGCACTTTTGACTGGATGTTCCCTGTGAGGAAAGTTTACACTTGAAATTTCTTACAAATAATTTTTATTGCACATAAGACAGACACATCTGATGAAACCCAGATGATATGGTATCAAAAATAAATGACATTTATATATTACAAAAGTACACATCATGGTTTTTTTTTAAAGAGTCTGGCTTCTTTTTACCATTGTACCTGTGTTACTAAATGAGGCCCTTGTATTTGCATCATTTCAAAACCTGGAAAGTCAGCAGATCTCAAAAGATTAAATAAAAAAGATGAACTTCAAGGGTCTACGACTTCCCCAAGAATCACAGACCTGGCTGTGGGCCAACGTGGAAACTCATTTAAAAGGAGTAATGAGGTACAGAAGGTTTCTAGTGCTCATTACATCTGTCTCCTTAAAACAAGTAAGATCTTGCTGTCACGGACATAAGATTGGCTTGGGCCATGCTGGCAACTTGAGAGAAATCCATGTAACATTTGCAGCTCTCTCTCTCTATCACAGGGTGTGGCCTGGAGATCCCAACACGCATGTTAAAACATACCACTGAATCTTGAGACCTGAAATCTCTGAGGTCCTTACCAATGTATTGAATACAAGAAGGCAGTTAGATTCCTGGTAACCACTGCCAAGAGTAAGAAGTCCTTTAGACCATATAGGAGCACAGTCTCTGTTTGTACTTTCCACAACACAGCTCTTTAACATGCCACATTTCTGTCTACAACAGCTTTCATCTAAGCAGCTAAAATCCTTTAGAAGAGAGAGCAACTCTTATTTCTCTTTTTCACAGGGGAAGCAGGGAAGTTACGACAAACTTTCAAAGGAGCCCTGCGTTCCCAGGGATTGATTTCAGAGGTGCAAAGCACCAAAATACTAGTAGAAGCCAGTATGATTTGCAAGAGCTTAGTACTTGCTGAGAATAAAACCCTAGATACCTAAAGAGAGACAGCCAACAATCTGGGAATCCAAAATCTGCACCCACTTGGAAATCTGTGCCTGATTTACCAAAGACCCCATAATGAACCAGCGTAGCACTTAGGTCCCCTGATTAACCCAATAAATAATACTGCCACTACACTGCTCTTTAACTTCCACTCCTCAATCAGTAGAGCAAAATCTCATACTGAAAGAAACTAAGCAACAACTGAAAACATCATGGTTTTTTTCTAAAACATATCTGCCTGTTCTCAATGCTTTACGTGTCAGAGCAACAGAAACTTTCCTTCTAGTATGGTAGGATATCTACCATGGGACAATGGAGCTTAAAGGAATTTGGCCTGCTTTTCCTGAAGACCTAAAGACTTCCTGTCATGTAGACAGGATCTCATTTCAATACTAGTGCACTCAGTGAGACCTTTGGGAAGTAGTATTCAGGCCATAGATGCACAGATTAGAAGCATGGCTAAAATACAACCTTTTAGAGAAGAGGGAGGACAAGAGAAGAGTGACAGAACTGAAAGGAAAAGGCTAGTGAGGATGGAAAAAAAGAAGTGGAATGGAACAGGAAAGAAAGAAGAGGCTAAAGAAAGAAGAGGAAAAACAGGCAGAACACCTATGCTAACTCTGTGCTAAGGAGTGAAATGGATGACACAGCAGGCAAGGGGTGGAATGAGCAGCTCTGCAAGTCAACGGGAATGGCTGCTTCTCAAGAATTCCAGTCCAACCTCCAATCTCCGCTATTTGAGCAACTCATCACAAGGGGAAGCAATGCACTAACTGGTTTGTACAAACAGCTCAAATTCATGTGCTCTGAAAATTCTAAGGGGGCAGAGTGAGGTTTTTGGTTTATTCCAAAAATTCAACCTCTAGAACCAAGTCTTGAAAGAGTTCTGGACATTAGGGACAATGAGAAGAGTCTTAGACCCTGCAGAGGGGAAATGCATGTGTGCAGAAATAGCTGGACAGAGAAGAGGCTTCATTTAATATCGTTTGCCTCTCTTTTTCTTACCCCTATGTTGCTGCTTCTCTTTCCGTGTCCCAGCTGTGGTAAAAGTTATGCAGTGAGCATCTAAAAAATCCAGGAGCTTTCCCAGCCCAATCTTGATGCCATTCTGCTTCAACTCAGCTTGCAGTTCAGCCAGCTCCAAGGGCTCATAAAAGAGTATCCTCCGATAGAGAGCTGGGTTTGAATGGATGTAGCGTCTCACTGCCTCCTGTTTATCTGCATCCTGAGTGGCAGTCTGAGATGCTGGGACCCCCTCATTATAATCTTCTTCCAATGCAAGGGCACAGGTCTCAAATTCATTGGCAGACGAACTGAAAGTAAGAGCAAGCAAGTGAGAGAGCAAGGAAGAGTCAGGGAATAAGGCATTCATGGATGTGAATGTAAATGTCAAACAGAACAGGCTTAACAAGGGCCCACATTCTGCAAGCTTCCCCTTCTCAGCTGTGCCAGTGACTCTATTCCAGTCCTGTGGTCCCCAGCTGCTGCTTCTCCATGCTGACCTGCACCATCTGCTGTCATTCTACTTTTGTGCACAGCTTTGTCATGAAAGTCTGTTGTGGCTCTGCTATTGCAGTCTTGGGCCCACATACAACTCTACCAGTGCCCCTGAAGTAAACAGACCCTTTACCAAGCAACAGAATATCAGCCACAGCAAATGATATCAAACTTACTTTTCTGATCTGACAAAAGTTCACTTGGAATTAGAATGAAGACACTCATGTTGGTCACCAAAGCCTCAAATGATAAAGGACAAATGATAAGGATAAAAGGATTTTTGTAGTTTGCAGGGGTCCACATCCTGTCCCACACCAATGACTACAATTCTGTTGCTATTTCAGTCATTTATTTTAGTCTTACCTCTGTGAACCAAAGGAGTGGTCCGTTCCATCCCCCGAAGACATTGCAGATTCCTGTGATGCTGAGAGCATTTGCTCATCAGTGCTGATTGCCAGAGAACCTTTAACTGGAGATGCAGCAAGAGACAGAGTTACTTTGTTTTGCCTGCTGGCATCTCCTGCATGGCTTTTGGTTTCAGCAGACATCTTAGCTGCTGCACAACTTGTTGTAGAGGGGCCCATTACGTTGTCATCAGTACTCCCCAGAACAGGTAAGGAAGGAACCAAAATACTCATCTTCTGCTTGCTTGCTCCACTTGAGGCTTTGGAACTCTTTGTTCTCACTGCAGTCCCATCTGCCTTGGATGGGCTGCAGTGCTTCGCAGTTGCTTTCCACAAGGGGGGCTGGGAGGATGAGAATTCATCCTCTGAATCCGACTCCATGACTTGGTGAGTGTACTGGAATATCTCCTTCAGCTTTAACACCATCTGATGTTTTGGGAGAGGACGGACTCCAAATCTAAAATATAAAGGTAGAATTTTAATTAAGCAATACAGTACTCTTAGGCTAACATGGTGATGTCCCACACTACTGGTACTGCAGTATGGCTTAGAGAAGGGAATGGGATTACATTATGGAGGCTACAGTCCAGGCATTAGCACTATTAACTAGATCTCAAATAACATTTCCTGGAGCCCCATCAAATTGTTGGCTCTTATCTCTTGCTGTACAAGGGTTTCTCTGTCAAGGCACTTCCCTCAAGTACCTGCAAGTTAAGAAACTGTTTGCATTTGTGGAAGTAACACTAACCTGTTCAATTCTTTCTTAAGCTCTGGCGTCTCCATAATGGAGTATTCTGGCATTGGTGTTATGGGAACCTTGGGAGGCAGGTTCTTCTTTGGGCAGATAGGGTCTGTAGCAAGATGAAATTATTACAGTTAGAATAAATCTGTACAGTTTTTGGACTAATTGCTACATTCTGGTCTAAGTGACAAGTATTACAAGGTCACACAGAAGTAATTTTTATAGCACCATTTTCCTGCAATGGTTTCCAAAGCACTTGACCAGTTATGTCTTGTTTGTAAAAGAGAGGAGCTTCAATTCTAGGTTTTATCTATGGACTCACCCTTTTCATGGGGTGTTTTACTTTAAAGCAGCCGTTCCCAAACTGACAGATTGCACACCACCAATTTAAAATGATACAAGTACCACCAGCAAATTTTTCAGTTCAACTTTAAGTACCACCAGCAAATTTTTGTCATATAAAGTAATTATAATAAATCAGTTACACGTATCACTGGTGGTATCCGTATTGAAGATCAGAAACCACTGCTTTAAAGCATAAAACAATTTGACTTAAAATAAATGAAAAGTTTTGGTCATAAAGATCCTCAGCTGTAAGTTCAGGCAACTTCTGAAAGCTGACAAAGTCTACGTTAATTGAACTCTATAGCAGCCTCTGCTGCCCTGAGCCATTTCTGTAACATTAATATGTTACAGAAATGGCACAGGACATACAAAAAGGCTGGGGTGGTAGTTACAGAGAATGGGCATGTCTACATGTGATGTTATGTCATTGTAGCAACGTGCTACGGCGATATAGTGTTCGCAGGCAAAAACCATGACACTGCTGCCACATCGCCACAGCAATGCGCTCCCTTGGTATAGCGTGTTGCTATGGTGACGTAGTGGCTAAAAATAACCATATACAACCAGCACGGTGCAGTACAGGCTGTTACTGCATCGTCACTTAGTACCTCCAAAAAGAAGTACTAAATGACGGTGCAGTAAAAACGCTGTAGGGGCACATGTAGATGCTCCAGTGAGTCTTAAACTTCTGGAGACCAAAGTTACAATGCAGACTGAAGTCAAAGGGAAGTGGTGTGACATCCACCTCCTAATGCCCTATCATATGTGTGCTTTACTGCAGAGCTGATGAATTACCTCCACAGTAAAGCATCACCTTCTACACTTGTGCCAGTATTAGGGCGCAGTAAACTAATTAACTCTGCTGTAGGATAGTACTGTCCAGGACAAGTAGTTTTTTTTCCAAGATCTTTCCAGGGATCAGTTTGACCCTAATCCCTTGAAAAATCTTGGAAAAAATTATCAAAGAAATCATTCTTGGCAGGTTAACAAAAGGAAACATTCTGAGGGATAGCCAGCACAGGTTTGTTGTGGGTAAGTCTTGCCTGACCAATCTCATTTCCTTCTGTGACCAGGTGATCTTTCACCTGGACAAAAGGAAAGAGGTTGATATCATATATCTGGACTTTAAACAAGCCTTTGACCTGGTGTCCCATGATGTCCTCATGGAAAAGTTGGGAAGCTGCAGCCTCGACTACGCTACAGTCCGATGGCTGGGGAACTGGCTCTTAGTTTGGACCCAGAGAGTGGTAGTTGATGGAACTGAATCAACATGGCACTCGGTGACCAGTGGTGTCCTCCAAGGCTCCATTCTTGGACCTGTACTCTTTAATGTCTTTATAAACTATCTGGACTCTGGTGTCAGAAGTGGACTGGCCAAGTTCACTGACAACACCAAACTCTGGGGAAGAATATCCACACTTGAGGATAGGCTGGTGATCCAGGCCAACCTCAATAGGCTTGCAAGGTGGGCGGATGAAAACCTGATGGCATTCAATATGGAGAAATGCAAGGTGCTCTACCTCGGGAAAAAAGCCCACATCACACATATAGGCTCAGCAATGCTACACTCACTAGCACCACAACTGAAACAGACTTGGGGGTCACGATTGACCACAAGTTGAACATGAGCTGGCAAAGTGATAATATTGCAGCCAGCAAAGTGATAATACTGCAGCTGGCAAAGTGAACAAAACTCTGGCTTGCATCTACTGATGCATCTCGAGCAAGACCCAGGATGTCATCCTTCCGCTGTACTCAGCCTTGGTGAGGCCACTGCTGGAGTATGCATCCAATTCTGGGCTTCACAATTCAGGAAGGATGTGGAGAAGCTTGAAAGAGTCCAGAGGAGAAAAGCACGCATGACCAGAGGGCAAGAGAACAGGCCTTACGAAGAAAGGCTGAGAGCCACTGGACTCTTCAGCCTGGAGAAGCACAGGCTCAGGGGTGACTTGGTGGCAGCCTATAAGTACATAAGGGGGGTGCATCAGGATCTGGGAAAACGCCTGTTCACCAAGAGCACCCTAAGGGATGACAAGGTCCAGTGGTTACAAACTCCTGCAAGACTGTTTTAGTCTGGACATAAGGAAAAACTTCTTTACTGTCCGAGCCCCCAAGGCCTGGAATAGACTCCCTCCAGAAGTGGTGCAAGCACCTACTCTGGACACTTTTAAGAAACATCTGGATGCTTATCTTGCTGGGATCCTTTGACACTAGCCGACTTCCTGCCCTTCAGCACGGGGCTGGACCCGATGATCTTATGAGGTCACTTCCAACCCTAATATCTATGAATCTATCCTACAGTGGAGTAGTTACATGCACCAAAACGCATGTGTAGACAGTAACCAGGGCTACCTGGGGAATGAGGGTGCTACAGTGCAGGGACTGAGTCCTCCAGACCCCCAGAGCTGCTTTGCCCTGGTTCAGTGTGCTGCAGTCTCATGCACATGTGTAAACACTGAGCCTGGGAGCAATAAACTCCAGCACAAACTGCACTGGAGTTTATTGCTACATGCTAATTGCACATGTAGATGCACCCACCATGTCCTAAGTAATATTCTTAGATCTTGGATGAAAGAGCAATGCAAGTGTAAAGAAATGTAAAATTATTAACCAAATAAGAAACAGCCTACAGAGGTACTAAGGGATTAATGCAAGCACTTACGAGGAGTCTTTAGTAGCTCTGTGTTCTGGGCAACAGCTGCAGCTGACAGCCTCTGTGTGAGAGGAATTACCTCTGGGAGATCATCTTCATCTCCATTCCAACTGTCCCAGACTTTGGAATCCAAAAAGCTTAACCTATTACCCATTGAAGGCAGTATCTCAACAGGACTCTTTTTGTCACAGGACAAAAGTTTGTGCGTGTCAAAAGGACTCCCTCTAAGAGGGGTACTACCTCTGACTTCCAGGGGTCTTGCTGGGGTTTTCCACTGTTCCTCTTTAGGGTCACTTTTACTGTTATTTGAACAATCAGACTTCTCAGGCTCTTTGCTGGTCTCTCTGATTGGTGACAGATATTCAACGTCCCAGAAGGCATCATCAACTGGGACTGGGGGATCATCACCCAGCAAGACATTGCTACTTGGTGATAATGGAGTTGCATCTTTTTCTTCCTCACTGTCCTCTACCTCAACCACACTAAAGTCTGTTTTATTTGCCAAAGACTGCTTATAGCATGGAGGCACTTGTCTGGCTGAAGAAGAGCTTTCTGAAGACTTTTCTTTTACACTAGCACAATTGGGGGAGAGTGGACTTGTAGGCACAGGAGAAATGGGCAGAAAGTCTTTTGAACACTGACCCAACTGGCTGCCAGAAGAGTTCCTTTTGCTGACTGTGTTGTCCTGATGGAAAGGTTTTTGTGACAAAATCACTGGCAACCCACCTGAAGTTGGTTCAGGACTGTTTATGATGGTCCTTGAAGGCTTATGGCTATTATTATCTACCACTAAAACTTCAGTCTTGTGCGTGGATTCCTGACAATTCAAATTTCTCATGCTTGAAACTTGGGTCTGTGTTGAGTAGTTTCTGCTTTTGCTTAAAAAAGGCGTGCCTGGCACCAGCCATGATGCATCCATGCTAGAATTCTCCTCACAACTGTACTCTTTCCCACAGCTCAGATTCAGATTCAGTTTGCTGTCAACAGAGGTACCTGCCCAGCTGTTAACATGCATCTCTGGCAACACCTCTGCAGCAGCATTACTATGCACTTCATTCTGAATTCCAAGTGAGACTTGAGACAGCCTCTGATGTACGTCCTTGTCAACAACTGATACAGGTTCAGATTTTGGCACCTTGGGATCTTGCTCTACTTTTTTACAGATATAATCCAATTTCCTAGAAATTTCTGTTTCCCTCAAGGAAGATCCAGAATCTGATTCCTCTTTTGCTTGTTTTAATTCAATTTCTTCATCGGAATCTGACAAAACAATAATATCAGGTTCTTTGTTCATGTGAGATGTGGCATCCTGAGTTTTGAGAATCTGTGATGAGGATGGTGAGAGAGATTTTTTCTTGTTTAGGTGAATGCACGGAGATCTGTCTGGAAAAACTCTTCTCTTTATGTTCTCATGTCTTGAAACAAAACCCTGCTCACTGGCTTTGTAGAAGGGCACATCATCAAGTGAGAGATCTCTTATTGGTGTTGATATAGGATGAATGCCTGTATATACTCTGGATAATGTCTGATTTAATTTTGCAGACAAAGGGGATGAACCAATAGCAGGAAAAAGAGGTGTGCATAGCTTAATAAGAGGACTGTGACAGAAATTGCTCTTGCCTGACTCAAGGCTTTTCTGTGACTGATGGCAAACTGGCGAGTTATTAATTTCAACACACTTCTCACTGTTGGTCTCTCCAGGGTCTTTGATATTTTCATTCAATGAGGCAGGATCACAATAGTCACCCTGGGTTGCAGAAAATATGTGCTCATAACTTACATCAAGAGCTACAACACTGTGTTGATGACCAGGGAACAGCTTTTCCCAGGGATCTTCCTCCTTTTCATCTTGCGAAGCCTGATATGATCTGGAAACTCTGGGTGTTCTAGTGGTCTGTCTTTCACCAGAGAATGCACCGCAGGACATGGCATTATCACTGCACTTATAAGACTCATCCTGGCAGTGCACTGTAGTGATCTGTGTAACATTTATGCCCTCACACCTATCTGGGCCTTGGATTTTCTTTTCTTGTGTACGTAAATCACATCTAGATCTTCCCAGATTAATATTTCCTTTCCATTCTTTAATCTTGCTACATGCTGAGAGAGATTCAAATACCTTCCTCTTTTTGTCATCCACCTGTTGATTCATGTCTTGGGCCTTCTCTGATTCACTGTAGAATGCACAGAGAAGAGCATTTTTCTCCTGTGGCTTGTCTTGAGCCATTTTTCGCTGTGTAGCAGCAAACTCATAGATTTCCTCAAGTTCCTGTTCATCCACTTTCTCATGGTCTTCCTCCTCTTCTCCTTCTGGTTTCAGCAAAGCTATTTCTTCCTCATCTTCATCTATCCACATTGACTTCAAGAGCTCCTTGAAGTTCTCAGCTCTATTCTCACAATCCTCATCATCCCCCACAGAGAAAAGCTCCTCTCCTGAATCCACCTCGGATGGTTCTTGGTTCTCTCCAGGGCTGCTTCTGCATACAGCAATCAGTTCACTCACACCAAACCTGTAATGATACAATGAAAAGATTATTGTTTTCTCTCCTTTGATGTTGCTTCACTATTTGGATGTAATATGAGTGCCTCATGTAGATTTCCTCATCAGAGTCATGTGCATGCCTTTCATGACAGGCATCTGTTCAAATCTAATCTGTCAGTCAGATTTCCCCTCTTCTAGTAGGATGCACATACGAAAGCACCAGCCCAACAACTCAACTCTCACACTGACTCTAAAGACCTTTACCTGACTAGAATTAAAATTCCCCAAAACAGACCAGAAGGCAAATAATGGCCCTTCCAAGAGGCAGGATCCTATTTATGCTTTTCCTGACTCAGCCTCTACCTTAGACTACTTCAGCTGAGAAGGTACTGGTGTCTGCAACAGAAGCCAGCAGACTCAGCACAGACAATCCCATAGCAGAGAATGTCTAATGCTATTAAGGGTATGAATTTACCACGCTGTTATAAAAGGGGACTTGGATCACAGTAAAGATAAGGCCTCAATTTAGAGACTGGATTAGAAACAATTGCTTAAGGAATCACATTTAGAAGACATACGTCTTTCTCTACATCCCGTTCCTGACGTTATTTTACAATTATATATTAGTTTTTGAAAAAAGATTCTTTCCCAGTGCAATGAACAAACCATAAATTATAAAGGGAAACTTGCTGACTAGCTGACAATACAGAGAAAAGTATTGTGAAATGCACAGAACATAAAAAGTATATTTTTCTCTCATCTCCTTGAGTGTCAGTCACATTAAGGTTCATCTATAACACTAGCAGGTTAAAACTTTTGGAGAGAAGTGAGATTTTTAATTTGACAGATTCTGCTTCATTTGTCCTTATTTTTAAAGGTTTGCAGCTGGAGAGTCACAAAATGATGGTAAGACTAATACTGTAAGTCAGTATTATACACACGATTTTCTTTCCCACAGCAAATCTTGCTAGAATTAATGGGACTACTTAGTGAAGTGCTTTGAGCACTCAGATGAAAAACATACTACTTTCCAGTATTATATTATCATGATCAGCCATTGTGGGAGGTCCCAGGACCAAATGCTACTACAAACACTATAAGCAGAACAGAATGGCTTGTTTCCCCTACAGGTGCAATGACTTGTGCCAACAGTGGTAAAACTTGAGCCTAGCAGCAGGTAATACTAAGCAGGTATGTCTTGGCAGAGACAAACAGTGAGAAGATGAGAGTTGTGATGCGTCTGTTACCACATTCATAAGAAAAACATGCAGATGAGTAAGAAGTTCATTGAATCCATTCAAACCAGAAAAAGAAGATTCAAGTGTCCTCAGAATAACAACAAAGCACTAATACCCATTGAACATTTAAGTCAAAAAGATTTCACTTAAACAAATGCAACCTGAGGAAGGTCATAATTGCAGAAACGTGCTGCAAATACAAGAATTTGGACTCCAAATAAATCTAAGGTGGGATCAGTGATTAGAAAGCAATATACAAACCTGGCTGCAAGAATCCTCACATCAGAGAGCACATGGGGACGGATATTAGAATCAGCAGAATAGAGGTACTGTAGAAATGCATACGTTGCCTCTGCTGTGACTTCACTCAGTAGCACTCGACGGATCTGCAAATTTCCATCTTCTTCCACTAAAAGACCTTCATTGTGAGCCTGAAAATGGAAGGATATGAAACATAAAGCAAGGTCATCTGTTGGCAAGAGATGGGCACAGGAGACTCGGAACCAGATTTTCCTGATCAAATCAGACCTGTCATCCACTGAAGTGGCCAGTACTAGATGCTTCACAAGGATAGCAAGATGATCATATATGCAATGCCTTAAAGCAGGGTGGCAGGAGTGTTCTTCCTGTCCTCTGCAGTCACCTTACACCCTGTAGCATAGCTGCACAACATTTGATTCCGTCCTCCATATAACTACCACACACTGCTAAGACTTATAAGCATTTTCCAATTCCTTTTTTAAACCAACTGCCTCCTGGAACAGTGATTTCACACGGTGACTGAAAGAAGAACACCATGTGAAGAAGAGTGCCTTTGAGTTGTTTTTAGTTTAGTTTTTAGTTTACCTGTTCTTGGTTGCACTGACTGACCACTCATACTCCTTTTATGGGACAACAGAAAGGAGGATCTGTTCAACTACTTCTATATCTTTGGTAACCTGAATAATACGTGTGAGGATCCACCTGCCTTTGTCAAGATGCTTCTTCAATTACAACACTCTCCCATGCTCTTTGCACCCATTGCACCTACTGCATTCCCTGAGATTCTCTTAGGGAAGTGCATGTCACACAAATGAAAAACACAGGGGCTCAGTTCTTCCCATTAACTCCCAAAGGCTCAAGGTCTCTGACAATGGGAGACTTGGTCCTAACACCATCCCCTTGGCCAATAAATAAATTATACGGAAAACAATGCCCTGCAGAACAGAACCTAAGGGAAAATAACCACATGGAGGGAATTAAACATATAACATAGGGACCTAATCCAGCAACTCCTACTATATATACAAGCAGTTCTTACCCATGCAAACAGCTGGTGGGACTACCCAAGTAAGAAAGGGTTGCAGAACTGGGGTACAGGTAAGTAATAAAAGGAAGTTCACTTAGTTCAGAATGCACAGGGTTAACCCTTGTCTCTAGTTTCATAAAAGTGTCATGTCACAGGATGCATCTACACCACATCCCTGGTGCTGCCAGGGGTCCTCCCTCTGAAGCATGCCCAACTATCTACTCATACATACCAAACTGGAAAATGCAGTAGTAAAGCCACTCTGGGAACAACCCCCTTACACAGGAGTGGGCAATTATTTGGGTCCACAGGCCACACAGGGAGTTTTGGTGAGCTCTTGCAAGCTTGGTCAGCACCCCCCGCCTCCAACCTGGGACAGCAACAGCTCACCAAAACTCTTAAGTAGCTCTGCTCTGCACTTGGCCAGGCAGCTTGAATGGAGTCACCGGTAGGGACGGTGCAGCATCCAGGACCAGGAGGGACAGAGAGAGCCAGGGTTGGGATTGCAGGGCACTGAGCACAGGGCTGGGGACTGTGGCAGAGCCGGGATCCACTGCCTACATGCCCCTGCAATGGGCACCAGTCCTGTGGGCAGGGGCACGCAGGGAGTAGATTGCAACTCTTTCCTAGTCCCGACCCCATGCTGTCACTGCTTAGCAGTACTGAGGTCTGGAGACTGGCCAGCATCTGTGCAGCCATGTAGAGTGTGCAGCCAGGTGGACAGGATGGGGCTACAGGTAGGCAGGGAGCTGAGTCTGGGTTCAGGCTCTTGTGGCAGTGACAGCGCAGGGTCAGGGCCTGGGGCAGAGGTGCGATTTGCTATCCACATGCCCCTGCCTGTGGAACCCGTGCCCGTTGCAGGGCTGTGTGGGCAACAGATCATGGCTCTGCCCCAGCCCCGGCCCCACACTGTCACTGCCCCATGATCCCTCCCAGTCTCGCCTGCTCATCCCACTTCTGAACACAGCTCTCCACCCACTTGCAGCCCCATCCCATCCACCCAGCCACTCGCCCTGCCCATGTGGGTCCCACTCCCAGTTGTAGGTTCAGAGTGGATGAGCTGGGGATCCTGGGCAGTGGAGCTGGGTCTGGCAGCAGCAGCCAGAAGGAGCTCCTGCTGCTGGGGCTGCTAGGAAGTGAGTCTGGGTGCCATGTCACCCCAACCCTGCTGTGTGCCCAGGGGTAGCAGGACTGGCCACGTGTGCCAGGGCCAAAGCTGCTCCCTGCACCTGGGCTGGGAGGGACCAAGGGACTCACCATAGGCCAGATAACATAACTTGGAGGCCAAATCTGGTCTGTGGGCCATATTTTGCTCACCCCTGGGTCATATTTTTCCTGTCTCAAGTACATCAAAGGCAGAGAGCTCAAGAGCAACTCAGAGTAGTTTCAACACCACATTTCTGAGTCTGGCATGTGTGAACAGGGGCAGCTGGGTAGGACACGCCAAAGTTGTGCAGACACATGTACACAGGCCTTCTTGAGATAACAGTATTCAAGTAAGCCAAGCCATGTTGAAAAGCTGCTCTAAGGGCTGCCAAGCAGCACCAAGTATAGATTAGGGTCAGTACCCATTGTCATGTTAGTGGGAGTGCTACTGGGATCATGCTGAGAATTGTCTGACACCAGACCCTACTGGGGAGCATGTGGAGCACTGCAGCTGCCTTGGCAAGCTCAGCCTTGCTATCTCAACAGTGAATGAAGGTGTGGGAAGCATTATATTGGTTTGACCCTACTCATGAAGTTTATGCAAGAATGTAGCTAAGAACTTTCAGCTGCTTGGTCCCTGGACTTTAAGTTCCCTCACTGTAGGAGAAAGACAAGGTGGGCTCACCTGACTGACACAATAGTCTGTGTTGGGTGACTATGAAAAACCAGAGACCAAACAGGTAGTTAGAACTTCCTGTGTTAACTGCTGGCAGGCTTCATTCTCCCCCTTCCACCTCCCACATACTGCCACACTCAAAAAGACACCAGCATTCTTGCCTCCTGGACCCATCTAGCAAGGAGACCAAAAGTCATGGCTGGGCCACAGATGCATGTTAGAGGGCCCTTTATCAACCTCTGCTGATTCTGGAGCAGCGCTGACTGTTGAGACTGGAGCTGGTTTGGCTATTTATCTCATCCTAGCTATGAGGAAAGCACCTTCCGGTCAAAAGTCCAGAGGAGGCAACCCTGTCAGAAGGCAGAGAAAGGTAACACTGCAAACAAGCATCACATTTAAATACAAAAGCATACACATTCACCTATACTTACCATTTCCACTGCCTGTGGGCACCGTGCATATAGCACAAACATGTGGGCATAAAGAACTTCCCCAGAGTCGACCTGGAACTGGATGTCACTTAGATGGGGGTTATTGACCATTCCACTGAAATCAAAAGCCAGTGACTGGAGCAAGGGCTAGAACAAAGAAGGAAAGGAGAGAATACTGGTGACACTGTAGGTCATTTCTCTGACAAGTGCAGAGGGAATAACCCAATTTGTCAGTGTTCCTGTCTTCTGGACCAAAGTTTGAAGGGAGTTAGCTTGTCCCCTGAAGCAAATCTTACTCTGGGTTAAATTTCACTTTCAAGCCAGCAATGATGAATTTGAGAGGCAACTAGCAACAAGCTTCTGCACTTCAGAGTTACTACGGTGCAGCTGGAGTCACTTGTCTATCTGTTACTTCAACTGCTCTGGCATTAGGTGGACATGAGACAGAAAGACAAATAGCTGTTTTTAGACAGCCTTCAGTCTACATAGCTTCAACCTTGTCAGGGCAGATGAGTACAGTCTGACTGCAATGTGGGCAAACCTAACAGCAATGGTTGGTGACCCCCTTCTGTGTCAACAGAAGCATCAATTTGTTGTTTGGATTTGGGGTCCCAGGAGGTGTACAATCTATCTGGATCCTGTATTCAGGATGTCACAGAAAAACTGCAAAAGCTCATCCATGCCTCAGATTCTATGCTTCCCTGCTTGTCCATGTAGGCAACAATAATACCACCAGAATGATACTGAGCAGATCAGAGAAGATTACAAGGAGGACTAAAAAGTTTTGAGCACAAGCAGTATTTTCATTAATCCTCGCAGAAGAAGGTGGTCCAGGCAAGGACCATCACATCATGGAAATAAATGTATGGCTGAAAATGCACTGTCAACATGAAGGCTTTAGGATTCTTTGACAATGGGCAGATGTTCTGGGGAGGAGTACTGCTATCAAGAGACAGGACCCATCTGATCAGAACTGTGAAGAGCATCTTTGGTCACTGTCTGGCCAACCTAGTAAGGAAAGCTTTAAACTAAGCTTCTTGGGGGATGGTGAACGAACCTTCCAGCAACAGAGGAAAAAAATCCAAAGGAAAGAGGAGTGGAAGAAGCAGCTAAAATCAGGGAAGGGCAAGAGAGCCACAGGACAGCAAGAGGGAAATGAGTATTTCAAAATGCAAAATACAGATGATCTATGTACACAAATGTGAGAAGTATTAGGAACAAACAAGATGAGTTGTTACTGCACAGTCATTTAATACTTGCTTAAGCTGTTGTTACTGCGCAGTCCCATCACCACACGGTTATTTTTAGTTACGCAGCAGAATTGCTGTCACAGTTCATGCCCAGCAATAAATACAATGTTGTTGTAGCAACAAGCTAGGGCATAGTAGCTTGTTGTTATGGTAATGTAGCTTCTTGTATAGATGTGCCCAGTCATTCATAAGAAAATACCATTACTATGAGCTGTAATGGGACCCTTTGTTTGCAGTCTTAGCTGGAGGAAACTGGAAGATCAGCTACCTTCACATGGCCAATGGGTATGCTGCCAGGTCAGAACTGTGGCAAACTGATAGGGCAACATGAGGGAAACTTACTTTGCTGCCTGCAATTAGGGGTGCACCGATATATTGGTTAGCTATCAGATTGCCACAAATAAAAGGAGAGATTATGTTATCACCCTGTGGGAGTGCAGGGGAGAGTAGGCAGCAGGTCTCAAAGGACATTCTGACCCTTCCAGCTATCTTCGTTGTGTTGGGTTTCCCAGAAGGTTAAGGATGCTGTGGAATGACTATGCTGAGCCCTCACAAAATGATACTCTCCCATAAATCTCCCAGCATTTCATCTCATCTGTAAGCTTCTGTACCAGATAGCATGTGTTTGGTGTAAATCAGTCTGTCCAGGCAGAAATCCATTTACTTATCATTTGTCTAGCTTGGCCCAGTACATACAAGAAAGAACACACCATTTCTGCCCTGAAATACTTGGAGCCCAAGTGCACTGTGTACATGAACTGGTTCTTTCCACAGATCGTCTCTATCTGCCTACTGTTATTTTAAATCTGTTCCTATACAGCACCACTATCCTTTTACCAACATGGAAGGAAAGCATTTGGTGTCAGACTCACATATTTCTGCCAACCATAAATATATATATGGAGAACTAAACAAGGATTTGTCCTTACTCTGTCATGGCTGCTTCTCTGGCACCTCTTTCCTGTGTATGGAGGGACAAAGCCACTGAGTGGAATATCTGTGGGCGCTGATTCTTTCCCTTATGGAAGAAAACACAAATCACAAATCAAACACAACTCCTGTGTGAGACAGACTACAAAGTAAACATTCCCACTAGTACCTCTGCAGTACAGACAACCCAACCAGTGTTTTCTAGCTAGGCAGGCTAGAACTAGTCCTGGCACTTCAGCCTTCCTCTCCATTCTTAACAAGGAATTTCTGTGTTAGGCTGTGACATATTGCTGATTTTTCCCTGGAATTTACCAAGATCAAGATTTCAAACAGACCAAGTTCTCTGGTAGTTCAGAGTGCACAGAATATAATGGGCAGAAGAAATCTTAGTCTACATAAACTGGTACACAGTTGGATTTGCAGCTGGAATGTGGCTTTCCTCACACAGGGTCCATGCACGCAATTACATCAGTCACTAGAGAAGCTGAGTCCCCTCTGAAAGTCTAGCAGTAGTATAACATGCTCAACAATACGAAGCAGCAGTTTGGATGAGAAAATGAAAAGTACTACCCATACATAAATCACAGATACAACACAATTTCTGCCTGAGTAGAAAATTCTTTAGGAAGCTGTTTAAGGAATACTAAAAATACCATATTTACATAAATCCAAGACAACTTTGGATTTAATATAACCCCCCAACAATTAGTTCTGACACATGGAAAATTATAAATTTGTTAGTTTTCCATGTATAAAATCAAATTATTGGAAGGTCATCTTAAATTCTGCCCCACCTATGGGGGAGGAGGGGGGAGAAGGGAGACCAAGCAGCCTGACCTTTGCACCTTGCTCCCCTGCAAGTATGCCCTGCTGTGCCTGGACCCCTGCTGCCTGTTCCCTGTCCCCCCTGCCACTGGTCCTCTTTTTCTCCACCTCTGCTGTCTGCCTCCCCAGCCAACCTGTGCTGCCGCCCAATCAGAAGTGCAGATCAAGGGATGGGGCAGCACATACTGCTCATTGGCCAAGGCATTGGGAAACAGTGCAGCTCAGAGAAAGGGGTAGCAGTGTGTAGTGCCACCCCATCTCAACACATGCTGCTGCCAAATCCCAGCTGCGCACTCCTACCAGATCAGCAGGGATCTGGGTTTTCTGTTTCCCATGGAAAAATGTGGATTTTCCCCTTTAAAGGAGAAAAACACAGGAAACCGTGGGTTTCCCCTTGCAGGCCAGCAACCTTCCAGCCTGCAAAAGGGGTTGCAACTGGAGGCAGGGGGCACCATATCCATGCGTACACACACATGGCTGGCATACAACCAGGCAGGGTGGTGAGAGCAGCCCCAGCAGCTGGACACAGGTAATTCTATGGGAGAGTGGGGTTGGAGAGCCAGGGATTGAGGACCATCTGGGGGGCTATGGGCATGTGTGTGCGAGTGTAGCAGAGGTGTGTTGAGCAGATGTGTGTGGAGGGGTTGTGGGGTGGATGTTTGCCGGTGCTTGGGGAAAGTGTCTGGGCACAGGGGCTGCAGCAGGGCAGGGGAGGTCTGAGGCAGTGTTCAGTACCGCCAATAAGCCCAGCTCCACACTATTGCCAGCAGGGCTTGCCCAGAGGCACCTGCCCCTCCAGTGGGGGAAGGGGGGGTGGGAGGGGTCCATTAGGGGTGGCAGTGAGTTGCATGGCCAGGTTGATGGGGTGGGGAAAGTGCCCATACTTTCAGGTGCAGGGTGGCTAGATGCTGCTTGGGGGAGGGAGCGGGGGGGCAGGGAATGGGGCAGCCAGGTGCCACAGGCGTCCCCTCCTCCTTCCTCCAGCCAACACTGGGGCTGGACAAGCTCCGTCACTGCCCCCAGAAGCCACAGTCACCTCTCTGGCCCAGGAAGGACAGAGACTGTCTGGAGCCCCTCACCCTCATTCTGCTGCCTGCGGCATGGCCTGAGCCAGAGCTGTGCTCCACTTCATGCTGCTGCTATGAAGTGTGGTATGTGATGCCTCAGCTGCTGCTTGTGCTTCCGCATGAGATGCGCTGCATGCACCTCATGCTGGTGGCTGCCCCCACCATGTCACCACAGATCACCATCCTGTAAGTCCGCACAGGGCCAGGCGGAGCAGGACGGGGAGCAGCTTCCAGCAGGGCTGGGGGAGGGCAGGAGTCTGCAGGTCAGGAGTGAAGGGCCCCCTCTGGTAGTGCTAGGAGGGTGGGAGGCTGTGTGTTTGGGAGTGAGGGGCACTGGCAGGGATGGGGGACTGCAGGTAGGGAGTGAGGAGCACTGACATGGGCAGAGGGGGCAGGGGAATGTGGGTTGGGAGTAAGTGGCATTGGCAGAGCCAGGGGACAGTGGGTCAGGAGCATGGCTGGAGGGGGCACCAGAATATGGCTTGGGAGTGAGGGGCGTCAGCAGAGCCAAGGGGCTGAGGGTTGGGAGTGAAGAGCATTGGTGGCAACAGGGGACTGTGGGTTGGATGCAAGGGGCAATATCTTCGGCAGGAATAGGGCACCAGCATATCATGGTTGATCAGTGCCACGAAGTGGTGGGTGGGACAGCCACAGCTGGATTTTCATGTTGGTGAGTGAAGAGGCCAGGGGATCTCTGATTTTCCATGATAAAAAAATCAAAATCAAATGCCAAAATATATAGGTATTTAGAATTTATTTTATTATAACGATCGAGGCACTGGTAAGCTTCTTTTAAATTGTAAATATAGGAACAAAACATGGTGTTCACCTGATACCTATATATAGTGGTGTTTCGTGTTAATCACGGAAAAACACAGATTTTGGGATTTTCAATTGGAGAATTTTGGATTTTTAAACAGAGAAAACCAGGGTGGAAGCAGCAGCATGAGTCAGGGGATCAGGAAGTAGGGCAGGTCAGAGGATGGGTAACAGCATGTCCTGCTGTCCCATTCCCCAGTGCTGCTACCCCATCCCCTGAACTGCACTGCTCCCTGATCCCCCACCCAATCAGTAGTGCATTCTGCTGTCCGATTCCCATGCATGCTGCTGCCCCATCCCCAGCCTGATTCCCAACCCACCTTGCTGCCCATCCCCTACCTGATCCCCGACCTGCGCTGCTGCCTAACCCTCCCCAATCCCTGACCCACACTGGTGCCCATCCCCCCACA